TGTGTTGTTATGGTTGATATGGTTAGATTATTATGCTGTTAAAAAAAGAGAACTGCCTGTACGAAGCCTGTTCTATTGTCGGACTGCATAAACACAGTTTACAACTGTTGGTGTTGAACCCCTGCACCCTAATGTCTGCTGAGGGTTACACTGTATTTTGGACCAAGTGGCAGCAAAATGTTAAATGAATATCAGTGAATAAAGGAAATAAAAAAATATGTTGGTTGTACGAAATTCATTCATGTGGAACCTGTTGACAAATTAGAATTAGGTCAAACCAATTATTATAAAATAAATTGGATGAAAAAGTATTTTAATTAATTGAACTTAAATTTACTATTTTACTTCTAAATGTAAAATGTGTAGCCTGTAAATATTTTATTTATGTCCAATTAACATAACTGAATTTGATTGGATAAACTTAAATAATTCTTGTTGAACAAAAGTAATTTTATCTAGTTGGGTCAATTCACATTGTGTTAATGTAATACAAGTTCATAAAGTTAGATTACCTTAACATTTTTGCTTTTAACTAACACAGTACACTTTCGTGGAACCTGTTGACAAAATAAATTTAATTAAAGCCAATGTTTCAATTTTTTGAGTGTGAACCACAAACAACACCCTTTTAGACCACATTTACATTTCACATCCAGCCTTCTTCCTCCAATTGTCCTGCAGACTTACCACAGCTACCACAGGCCAGTTTATTGTGTTCTGATCGGCTGTTGAACGGTGGTAGAGGTAGAATTGCAAAACAATCAAATCTGGACTGATCATCCTTCTCACAACGCACTTTCTGGCACCACCACAGAACACCGTACAATAAATATTGTTAAAGGTCTCTGGTCTCCTGAGTGACCCTATGCATGTGGGTCAAGATGCTTCCTCGTTCCGTGACACCCTGGGCCAAACCCCCCCTCTAGCCCCCAACCCACTATAGATAGAATACTGTACATTATTCTTACCATCATTTCAACAAGAAAAGTCTATAAATTTGTGCCTCATTCAGGACATTTATTGTGTTTCTTTTTGTGTTAAAATATTCTAAACTTTATGAAATGTTGAACTTTTTTAAAAATGTTGAATGAAGAATCCCTCAAATCCTGTAAAACGTTTTACCACTTTCAAAGTTTATTACTTCAAAATATCTTCAGACACCATTCAACTTTAACAATGGTTTCAAAGTGTTGAGCTATTTTCATGTGTATCAGCTCCTTATAGTATTTTTTAGCATTTTTTTATACTCAAAATTCTTCCATCAGTCATTTCTGAGTGTGGAATGGACTCCTACGGTACGGAACTTTGGTACAAAGTGCCGCTTCCAACTGACTGGAGAAATGCAGGGAAATCTTTTAGATTTCTTTTTAACTGCAACTGTGTCCACAATCTTTAACTCACTGAAATTATTTTTACAGAAAAATGGAGGAAAACCTATCCTCTTTCTCACATTGTAACTTTCACAGCATTCAGGGTTTAAGTTTTTTAATCAGAGCCTTCAAAGTCAAGAGATACCTTCCAGCTGCCCAACAGAAAGCAGCTCAAGAAGACTTGAGCCCCAAAACCTTAAAAGACAGGCATTAAATATGCTCTAATTTTGTTCAATTTATTTTCTTATAAAGACAAATGAAACGGCTGTTTCATTTGTTTTCGAAGCTGTTGTGCAGGAACAGATCTTTCTTATTAATGAGTTTAACCATTTTTATATTATTAAGATACTTGTACTTTTTTAATCTATTAGCGCTGAACATTGTTGCCATCAATTAATTACTTTAGTAAGTTGAACAGAGGCGTAACTGACAGCTTTTTTAATGTATATGTAGCGTGGAAAATTCATTCCACCGAAAATCCTTAATTTTATATTTTTCCTAATCTATTGTGTAACAGTTTTCTTTTTTTATTATTATTATAAAAAATCGTTAATAATTTTAAGAAAGTCCGCGTCACTGACGTCACTTCCTCCTTCACCAGACCGTTGGTGACTGATACGGAGGAAGGTGAGTTTTCGTCGAGCTCTTGCTAATTTGTTGTTAATAAGCTTGTATATAAAGGCAAATGTTAAGCTGTGTTCAAGCTAACGTATTTGTAAGTTGTTTAGTGGGGGAGGGTTTTTTTTAATAGAGTGGAAAGGTTTTATTGTCGCAGTATTTCTGAGAACAAAGCCGACTGTTTCCCGCGCAATGACTGTCTTTTGTCTTTATTCGCGGGCAGGTGAACCGATGTCGGCCTAAGTTTATTATATGCTGCTGAACGTTTTATTTCCACTCTGTACAGGTATGTTGTTATTTTTTCTTTTATTATTGATTTGACTTTTGTTCTGATTTGAAATATGTACTCCTTCACCAGACCGTTGGTGACTGATACGGAGGAAGGTGAACCGATGTCGGCCTAAGTTTATTATATGCTGCTGAACGTTTTATTTCCACTCTGTACAGGTTCAATAAATATGCCATCAATGATTGGGCTGAATCAAGGCTTCAACGGTCATCATTAAAAACACACACAACGCAGAGTCGAGAGTAGCGGGCGCAGGCAGAGCCGGCTACATATAGACCAGCATAGATACACTGCAAAAAAGGGTTGTCTGAAAACAAGATAAAAACACTAGATTTGAGGTTAAATGTACTCAAAACAAGTGAAATTATCTGTCCATGCAGCAAGACAATTTCACTTGACAAGATTTCTTGAATCAAGATAATTAAATCTAGAAATAAGATTGTCTACAGAGGTATTAGTAAGGCTTAAAATGAGCTGAAAATGCTTGTTTTAAGAACAGATTACTTATAAATGTACTTTATACAGCCCCAAATAAAGTGAAATATACTAAATATAAGCATAAAATGCTGGTTTTAAGATTGGATTACTTATAACTGTACTTTTTTGAGGCTCAAAATAAAGTGAAATATACTAAATATAAGCATAAAATGCTGGTTTTAAGCTTGAATTACTTGTAATTGTACTTTTTACAGCCTCAAAATAAAGTGAAATATACTAAATATAAGCATAAAAGGCTTTTTTTAAGACTAAATTACTTAAACGTAAACTTTTTACAGACTCAAAATAAGTTAAATATACTAAATATAAGCAATTACATATTTTGTTAAGTTACTTTTAGCAAATTAAGCTCAAGATTAGTAAAATAGATATATAAAATTTAGAAGAAAATACTCTACTATTAGAGAAGAATGACTAAGCTCTGTCTTAATGCAAGTTGGTTTATCTTGAAACAAGGTTTACTGCATCTTTAAACCTACAATCTAAAGCTTGTCCTGTTAGAATAATGGTACAGAAATAACAACCAGAATGGCTTATAAGACAACATTTATTTAACATCAGCAAGTCAAGGTTGCTATAGACATTAGAAAGCTTTTCCAAAAAAAAAAAAAAAAAAATCTAAAACCAAAAGAGCAAAAAAAACAAAAACTTCTCAGCCCTCTCAGTTAAATAGCCTTTGAAATACAGGCCTCAATGAAGTAATTGTATAAGCTTGCACAACACACACAAAACTATTGTTGGCACAGCTAACAAGAATAAGAACTGAAATGACAAAATACTCAGCTACTTCTCAATGAAAGACTTCCAATCAGCCATTGCTTTCTTGTAAGCACTAGTGGCATCTTGATCGTGGATTGTGTCACCAATTACCTCTGTTTGAATAACTGACAGGAGAGTAGCAACACATTTCGGATATCTTAAGTGCAAAGTGTAGTAATATGCCATTAACACCAACATCCCGTCTGAGAAATCTTCCTGAGGGAGGGTGGTCACAGGTACGTTACCCACAGCCACGATGATGGTTGATCCATCAGAAAGCAGAACTGGGGAGGAGAGAGGACGCTTCTCCAGGTACAGGGCAGGGTCTTCACCTGACTGGAACAGAATAAAAAGAACAATGTGTAGAGAGTGAGAAGACATAAAAATGTATTGAAAGTCAGATGTATGTGTATTATTAAAAATAGTTTTAGATTAAATTATCTTGTTTCAACCAATGACTTCAGCAGTCTTAAAATAGTCATTATTATTATTATTTGAACATACACAACAATGTGAGAAAATAAGAGGAGAGTAAGGAATCAACACAAAAATGTTCTGACCTTCCGGACATGAAGAAGTGCCTCACAGCTATTCCCAAGCTTCTTTGGTGGTGAAGTTGGTGAGGGGAAAAGGGATGGGAGTGCATTGAAGAGGGCGAGCGTAAACTCCACTAAAGAATAGAACGATTTTTCTGAATATGGTATAAATCACAATACATTTGCATATGGGACAGCAACTTACCTCCACGGACATCCAATGGAAAAGGGGGTTTCAGGGCTTTCTTCCACACACCATAGAACTGCACCTTGGAACAAAAGTCTGCCCATCTTCCTTTCACTTCCTCGATGTATCTGCTGTTGGTGCCACCTACTATGCGCCGCAGCTCATCCATTGCTGAAAACATTGTGCACAGTTATTCAACCATTGGACAATTAAAGCACAGATGGATAGACAGTAATTCAAGTGAAAGTATTGGAAAAAAATCATACATTTCGAACATCTTTAAAGCATGGATATGCCGCAAAGATTTTTGCAGGTCGGTCTTCTTCCCTTGTAACATCTGCATCAAACAAAGCCCGTCTGGCCTCAAACTCAAGGTCCAAAACTTGAGCAACATCGCTTTGATTGGGTTTTGCATTTGACTTATTGTACATGTTGCTCAAGGTTTTGTAGTGCCTAGCCTGCATCTTCAGACTGTCCTGGCCGACTGAAATGGCAAAAAACAGAGACATTTCAATGTAAACACAATTTTATTGCATTATTATGCAGGTCGGTTTTCTTCCCTTGTAACACCCAAATCAAGTCAATGAATTTAATTGAAATAAGGTAAATACAATCAAAATTTAAATTGAATCTCCAACAGTTTAGACTCTGATTTCCCGCTCTGAAAGCCATCATCATGGATAACAGGCTGAGAGGTGTGCTGAGGTGGGCTTACCAACCCAGCACACCTCTGGTTGGTGAAGCTATTACAGTCCTGAGTGAGGAGCCTGAGGCTGATGCGGGTGGCAGCAGAGAGGTTTTGGTCTTTGGCATCCTTGGCACAGAGGGGGGTAGTTGTGCTGGGGATGCTTTTATGGAAAATAATTAAAGAAATCTCAATACAATTAAACACATGATGACAAGCAAAACAGGCAGATAAACACAGTGCATGCCATGAACTCTGGTTCTACAAATACAGACGAGTTGTATGACAGCACCCCTTCATTTTTTGCCCACAATTTGCGCACCTGCACAAGAGTTGTCCTCGCTGAGGTCATCATTGCTCTCAAGACGTACGGTGTTATCACTCGAGTTGCTTGTGTTAGTCCAATCTGTCTCCATGTCTTGGTTGTCTGCTGAAGAGAGCAGTCTTTGCCACTCCTCTTTGTGGTACAGAGCCCTGCCTCTTCCGTGGGGACCTCATATTTTGGAGACGCTTGTACATTTTGGTGTAGATGGTGAGCTGTGGTAAAAGAATGTTGATATATTGTTTGTTTTGTTGCTGACCTGCCCACAGTTTTGGTTTAGATAAAAAATAATACTTACATATGGCATGTTCAGATCATCATCCCGTAACATTGGATAATAGTCTATAATCTTCTGTGACATGGCTCTCATTTCCAATTTTGACGGGTATCTGACTTCTTTCCCCATGGGACTAGCACGCAGGATAGCAACCATACTGGTTATTGTGTTCCTTACAAGTCTGCAACATAGCTCCTTGGACATTTTGTCATTTTTTTCCTTTCCCTTGCAGAGCAGTGCAAAGTATCGACTACGCACCATGTCCAACTCTGAATCTGTGTACACAAAATACTCTGGAGGGTCTGGCATTTTCATTTTTTTATCAGCAGATATGGGGGTTGAGGTTTCAGGCTGGCATGGTGGCATGGCACAATTGCTGGCATATTGGTCCGTGGTATTTTCACACTATTAGGATTATGTGGGATGAAAAAAAATGCATTAGAACCATAAAGAAATATGGTACAATTCAGACTTTACTCATTTGTACTCATTCCAATGTGTGTTTACATTTTCACTGATGAAATTCCAAAGTTTCTTTCTTTTGAGGAAATTCTCTGGGCCAGGAAAAAGATCCCCCAGGTCATCCCGACTAAGGACTTTCAAAGCCTCCTCATCAAGACTGGCAGCTGTGAGATATATGACAAATATACATCTTTAGATAAAGCAACAGCAAGCTACAGTACCAATCAATTTTATTTAGTAAGGCTTTATACACTTTAGCTAGAAGGTAGTGAAGCACCAGAGACTGAGGGCATTTTTGGTTAAATTTAATTGCGACATAGTTAGATTAACATGACATTGTAAAACACCCATATATTTTAGATGAAAGATTGTCATGTATTGACTCCTAAGAGTCCAAGCTTCCAAATAAGGTATAATGACCATGCTACATAACAATCTGAATGGCGGATGATTTACAATGTTGGGGGGGGGGTGACCTTCCCGCCAACAGGAAACTGCAGACCTCATGATTTTAAAATGTGACATATATATTTTGCTTTAGAATTCTGACTTTTGCTTCACATTTTTGCACCATAAGCATATTTTAAAGTCGTTCAAATGAAGGTTGAGGAAAAAATGTTGGATTTCAAATAAGGTATTCAGCTAAGAATGTGCACTCTATAAGTAGCATCGATACATTAGATATCAACTTTATTCATGACTTACCCTCCAACACCGATAGAGTGGCGTCGTCAAAAGTATCCATCCCGGATTCCGGATTCATCAGCTCCCTGAAGTCTTAACAGGCGGTACCTTAGAACTACCTGGGAAAACCCACAGGCAAACGGAGCTCGTTAGCTAATAGCTAGTGACCAACGGGTAACGGTGCGCATCAGCTATCAACTAGCTAGCAAATACCCCGGCGGACAATGTTTGCAAAACAGTAACCCATTGCAGCGACAATCAATATGTTCTTCTTCTGTTTCTTGGCAGATTTTGTAATATACCTCCATAATATATACCAATTCAATACAGGTTACTGACCTTGAGCTGCTCTTCTTCAAAATTTAACGGTCAAGTGGAGAACCGCGATAACTGACGTAATTGAGGTGGAACCGTTGGAGGATATGAACTGAGGATGCGCAGAACTGATCGGATTTAAACATGAACTTTTTAGTAAAATATTAGTAAAAAAAAAAAAACATTTACCATCATACAATTAATTAAATCACATTTATAATTGGAGAAATGTATTGTTAAATTAAAAACAAATTATTGCTTGAGTGCCCCCCTCCCCCTAGAAGATCCTAGAAGATCTGACACTTCTGTACAATGGTGTAAGGATTGACACCCCAAATGGTGAAATTGAGTTGTTTGGTGCTGTGATGGCCGTATGTGGAGACACACTTGCCCAACATGAGATTGCTGGATTTGAACAAGGTGTTGGTTTTGCTTATAGCAAATGTAGACATTGTGAATGCTCCTTTGAGGATATGCAAAGTATTTTTGAGGAGAATAGGTTTGCTGAAAGAACTTTGGAAAAGCACATCAGGCAGTGTGTTGAAATACATAAAGCAAGCACAGAAACATTGAAAGCATCCCTCAAAACCACTTATGGGATTAACAGAAGAAGCAGACTAGTTGATGTTCCGGCATTTGATCTGATCAAACAAACGCCACAGGATATAATGCATGTCATTTTTGAAGGTGTTGCACCAATGGAAATAAAACTTGTATTAAAAAACCTGATTCTGTCAGGACAGATAGAATTAGATGTCATTAATTCAGCTATTCTAAATTTTCCTTACTCACTTCTAGACATACGAGATAAGCCATGTCCTATTAGTGTCAGTACTTTAGCTGCTAATGACAATAAATTAAATCAGTCATGTGGACAAATGTTGATACTTTTAAAAATCCTACCTTTTCTTTTGAATGATATTGACAACGAGTATGTCAAATTTATTCTCGAATTAATTGAGATTATTCAAATTGTCCTTGCTCCTGTTATTTCTTTAGAAACTGTATTACGACTCAGACACATGATTGAGCAACATCTGCATCATTGTGAAGAACTGTTCTCTGAAGCCAATGTAACACCCAAGCAGCATTACATGTCACATCTACCAAGCCAAATCATATCGCTTGGTCCATTAATTAAAAGTATGTGTATGCGATTTGAAGCTAAGCACAGCTATTTTAAGCAGTGGGCTTCTAAGTTAAATTAAAAAAATGTCTGTAAATCGCTTGCAAACCATAATCAGTTCCTTGAATGTTGTCAAAATGAAATAGGCATTGAGCAACCAAATTTTCTAGTGAAAGAGAATCGGGCCTGTCTCAGCTGTCAAAAATATTGATTATGTTAAGAGAAAAGTTAAAGATTTTTTAGGTGTAGAGGTTATGCAATCTGTTGTCTCAGTGAAATGGTACATTCTCAATGGCAATAAGTACATTAGTGGGACATCTATAATTATTGTGGATGTAGATGGTGCTTTCCCAGTGTTCGGACTGATAAAAGATATCTTTGTGATTAATTCCTCTTACGTTGCTTTTGAGTACCAGCGTTATGAGACACTGAATTTGAGTCCAGATTTGCTGGCATATGAGGTGGCAGTTCCCAATGTTGCCCAGGCTACAGAATTTGTGCATGAACTCATTGTCTGTATTTCCTATTTTTCAGTTAGTTTCAAGGAACATATGTTTGTGCCAATAAAATATAGTCTTTGTGATATTATTGCCGGCAGAAGTAGACATTAAATGTAGGAATGATGAGGGATGCATTGATGTATTGGGTGATCAAGTTTGCTTGTTTCCTGTTTTGTGTTTCCTGTGCCTGTTTTCTTAAACATTGGTCATCAAACAATTCCATGGACTGTACGGTGAGTTGTGGTGAAGGCTGTATAATTTATCCTGACATTGTCTGAACATACTTCAAGTCAGAGCAATAATAAACTCTGTTTCTTTCAGAGGCTTTTTGTATGACTCTTGAATCAAGCAACTTGAGATTGTTACTGAATCTTAAAACAAACATTTTCATGAGAATCTGGGGGACAGATGTAAAAGATCTTTTTTCATGCCTATTTGAGACAAAAAGATAAGGTTGTGCTTGATTTAAGATTATAATGTGGAGTTGAACTCTTAAAATAAGAAATTCACTCTTAAAATAAGATAAATTATCTAAGACTTCTAAATCTAAGTTTTTTTTATCTTGATAAGAATCAAATAATTTGCTGTGCAGAATTCTGTTGTGGACATTGACTTCAAATGCTTTCTCAGCATCAGTTAGAGGCTCATCTTGAGCCATTTCTCCTGCTCTAGTTTTCTTTTTCCTTTCTCGTTTCTGAGGCAATGCACTTTCAATTTCTGTTTCCTCCTCTCTTTTTTCAATATTCTCATTTGTCCATTGCACAAAAGTGTCTGCTGCAGCTTTCACACCTGAAAAATCTCTAGCAATGCTTTTCAGGGCCTCTTGTGTTGTAATCACCATACGATGGGCTGAAAGGATATCCATGCCTTCTGTCTGGAGGTATTTAGACACGGGTGTTGTTTGTTCAAATATTTGACGGAATATCTGAGGAGTTAATATAGTTTCGTATTTCAAGAGGCCCTCTTTCAACCCTTGTGCTTTGGCTTGTACTGATGCTTTTTCGTGAGCTTTGTTTTCTATGGATACCAGAGTCAGGACTGCATCTTCAAACAAACAATTTTGTGGTTTCCTAAAATGTCCAAACACCTTTTTTAGAGCATTATGTTTTGACCACCATCTTTTTAGATTTAGACTTCCTTTATTGTCATTGCACAAAAAACACAAGGTAAACCTTAACAACGACATTTCGATTACTTGACTACCAGTGTAACAGAGCTAAGACATTATTCCTGCACAATAAATAGGTTTTCTATAACTAAGCGCTAAGAGCTAGCTATATACAGGGTAAAGAATTATATTTATACATATATATAGCACTGAGTTTTTGCAAAAGAAACATCAATAAATATTGCACTGAGTTATTGCAAAAAGAAACACTAAGTTTAGGACAAAACTATACTAAGGTGCGTGTATTGTCCATGTCCATGGGGGGTGGTTTTAGTGTATGTATGTGTGTGTGGGGGTGGAGGAGTGTTATGTGGCGTTGAGCAGTCTGATGGCCAGGGGGAAGAAACTGTTCAGTAGTCTGCTCGTTCTGCAGAAGATGCTGCGGAACCTTCTGCCCGACGCCAGGAGGGAAACAGTCCATGGTTGGGGTGGGGGGGGTCGGAGAGGATCTGGTGAGCCCGGGATAGACAGCGCCTGTCTGCGATGTTCTGGATGCAGGGGAGCGGCGCCCCCGTGATCTTCTCCCCTGTCCTCCTCACCCTCTGTAGAGACTTTCAGTCAGAGGCCTTGCAGCTCCCAGACCAGATGGAGATGTAGCTGGTCAGCAGGCTCTCGATGGTCCCTCTGTAGAAGGTCTGAAGGATGGGGGGCGGGAGGGATGCTCTCCTAATTCGACGCAGGAAGTGCAGGCGCTGCTGGCCCTTCTTCACCAGTGAGGAGATGTGGACTGACCAGCTGAGGTGGTCAATGATGTGCACCCCCAGAAACTTGGTGCTGCTGACGACCTCCACAGCTGAGTCTCCCCAATTGGAGAGAGGCGTCTATGGCTTCTGTTTTGGGCTTGGTTCTCCCACACATTGACCCTTTGATAGGAGTCTTTGATGAAGACCGCAATTTCGTTCAACAGACTGAACAATGATCCACTTTCAATGACAGTTTGCGTAGTGTCAGAAAGCACAAGATTGAGCACATGTGCATAGCACCATACAGGGACATGAATTGGTGACTGAGATGTCATCAGTGCTGAAAATCCTTTGTATGTGCCTTGCATATTTGATGCCCCATCTGTGGAATATCCTATACACATGTCTTTGTTCAGCCTCAGATGATCCAAGACATCGGACACCAACTTCACAAAGTACTGTCCTGTGGACGCCTCACACCTCACTAGGGCAATAAGCCTTTCGTGTACGGTGTCAGTGCCGTATGTTAAAATGATTGAACACTGATCCTGAGAGGCGATGTCTTGTGTTGTGTCCAGCTGAATAGAGAACATTCCAGCTTTCTCTACAACTGTTGAAATACAATCTTGAATTATGTGGCCAATTGTATCAATGACTGTATTGACAGTGGTTTTAGAGAGAGGTGTGATGAGAGACCCTCGACCTCTTGTTCCACTGGAGTGATGTTGCTGTTTATGTTTTTCAATACATTGGTCAATGTCTTCTTTGAGGCAGACTTCATATTTTCCTAAGAGGATGATCAGCTCCAAAAAGTTCCCATGGTCAATGATGTCATCACCAGTGCAGCGGTTATCAAACTTTTTTCAGTGATGTACCCCCTTAAAATATATTTTTAGTCAAGTACCCCCTGACACAGGCAAAACATTTTTGGAAGAAAAAAGAGGTACAGTGCTGTAAAATCACTGTCTTATTTATTAAAGCCAAACAACTGATCCATACTCCAACCATTGCATGTACAAAAAAAAAGAAAAACAGAAGACGGTGACCACCAGGAAGGCATAAAACCAGTCAAAACTGAAATAAGCTGCTAACGCTGCTAATTTATATTGGTCTCTGTAATTGTAATGAACGTGATAAGGACCCGAAAGCAACCAGAGGCTTACGGTCACTTTAACACGGTTTATTGACAGACAGGGGCTCGGCAGAAGCGTGGTCAGAACAGTCCAGGTTCGATAACGGGTGGTCCAGGCAGCGCAGATAATCCAACTCGTGGTCAGGGGCTGGTCGAGGGTCAAAGCCAGGGGAGCAATCCAGGGGAGCAGACGGGAGCATGTAGTCAGCCAGGCAAGGTCGGAACATAGGGAGACAGGCAGGATCAAGAGACTGGCAGAGCAGATCTCAGGCAGGCGGACTAAACCGACAGGGAGTAGGCAAGCTCGGGAGTCGGAGTCAGACGGGTCGTGATCAGGAAGACAGAATAAGGATATAATGCTGGAAGTACTCACACAAGGCTCGATACGTTCTGGCATTGAGTTCAGGTAAGCACGGAGAATATATGGAGGTGGGAACAGGTGAGGGTGATGAGCGCTGATTGTGGGGTGAGTAGCTGGGCAGGTGTGCAGGTGGGGGTGGAGCCAGCTCCAGAGCCGGGAACATAACAGAAATTGTTAGAAATAGCATTTCTAAGATAATTTGCATGAAATCCTCGAGACATTCTTGTTAAAATGCTTATTTGATTTATTTTTGGGGGGGGGGGGGGGCATTTATAGCAAACATGGAGAGCAAGTGGGAAGAGATCTTCAACCTTGTGTCTAAAGGTTCCTATCCTCCGGAATCTAGCAAAGGGCAAAGGCAAACGCTGAGGAAATTTGCCTCTAAATTCAGCATCCATGGTAAGGCTTTGATATTTTAAACAGACACAACATTTTCTGTGATAATGATATAATGCGTGAATTTTTTCTGTGAAGCTGGAAACCTCTTCTTTGGAGCCTTACCTCGCAGGCAGGCAATAAAGACCAAAGAGGAAGCTTGGAACCTTTTCAGGGAGTTCCACGCTTCACCCATGGGAGGACACACTGGAATTGTGAAAACCCGGAGTTCCATGTGTTCCCGATTTTTTTGGCCTGGTATGACTTCAGACGTACAGAAATGGGTATGTTGCCAAATTCTTAGCAATAAGCTTAAGCTCCAAAGTCCTATAAAACTGAAAAACAGCAACATTGTCAAGGTGTCTGAAAGTGACTAGTGCCAGAGAGTGGGACCTCCTCTGAAGGCAGTCCAGATACTGGAATGCATAAAGGTAACCATCCACTGCAATGCCTGTAGTTTGTTTCTTCTACTCTACTGTTGCTCATTTTGATTCTCATCAACAGGTATCAGGTGTGTGGGAGCTGGTGGGAATAGATCTGACAGCTCCTCTCCCCCTGACATCTTCTGGCTTCCAGTATATAAATACAGCCACTGACTACTTTTCAAAGTGGGTGGAGGCTTTCCTTCTGAGCAAAATGTCAGCAGAGGAAGTCAGCAAGAATCTTTGCACTATCTTTTATCGGCATGGCTGTCCAAAGTGAATCCTCGCAGACCAGGGGCGAGAGTTTGTGAATCAAGTACGCTACATTTAAAACGAATTATAGTTATTTCAAGTTTTAACAAAGGTACCCGTAATG